GTATGTGTATGTGTCCGTATGTGCTTACACCTGCCGATTCCCCCTTGTTAACACAAATTTTAAGCGATTCCCTAAGTCTAGCCTTAAGACTCTCTGTTGGATCTGTCACTTTTAAGCAACTTCTGGTGACTAAAAACCTTAGACTCATTATGGCAATTTTTCGCTTTTATGTCTACAAGTAGATCATATACATGAGATGAATTTACCCTATTTCATTTAAGATTATTAACGATTGGTAGGTTAATTGATATGAATAGGCTTTACGCTTCCAATGAATTTTATGTAGACTTGTTTTTCTAAATGAATACTAATCCAGGCTGGACTGCACTTCCGATCTCGCCCAAATTCGTCTCATCAATATCCCCCAGCTGGACTCGAACCAGGTTTGTAGTAGTACAGAAAATATCGACACGTTAATAACCACCCCACACCGCGACGCTTGCTTTTGTATCACAAAGTAGATGTGCATTTCAAGGAAGGCCAGTCATTTTTCGATATCAAATTATGTAGTGGGATTTTCGATGAAATACAGTTGTATCTGCTATATCAATCGACAACATTACAGGTTTAATTTTTATAAGTAAATTTTCAGGACTGACAGTTGATCGTGTGTATGAGCTGTGCTAATGAGACCTCAGCGAGATTGAAACTGCCGTCTATTCTTCCTGAGAATACTCTTTAGGAAGCAAGGCTATGTGAAATCCAAAGGAAACGTAGGGCCTACTCATAGCATAGTATGAAAATTCCACTACCAATTCTTTCTCACCCTAACAAAATAGGGTTACTACATTTAATATAAGGTATAGCGATATTTTTGGAACATACTCTTCACACCTTTATTTCAAAATGGACTGTAGGCTTGATCCCGTTTCAGTCTCATCAAAAATGCTATAACAACTGAACTCCCTCGGTTAGTCGTCTTGACAACCGGAACTCACTTGACTGACGATCGTCTCCTCTGTTCTGCCGATTGCCTCAAGCCATCTGTTGCGTAAGACTGCCGGCTTTTTCGGCACTCTGTAGAAGTGCCTGTTGTCCTCTGTGCCACGGTAGCGCGACCTGAATTTGCAGTTGGGGAATCCACAAGTTGTCGGCATTCTGTCGACTTTGACCCAAGACAACCAGAAGTGGGAAAGTTCGGATCTTGTTATATCTCAGAGGCTGCGTCCTGTCCGGGAAGAAGTAAGGGCGTGAAAGAAACGAAGGATTGGATTTAGCCAATCCTTTGTAGAAGTCTTGGTTGCGAATAGAAACGTGGTGCTGGAAGGTAGAAGGTACAAGATGGAAAAAGTCAATTAAGAATAAAGAGTATTCGAGCATAACCTTGTTAGGTTTCGTTTCAAAGAATTCATCGAAATGCTTTTAATATGATATTTTCATATCTGGAAGTATTTCGTAGATGTTTTTGCATACAAAAATGTTAAAATCCATTTATGGAAGCGTCATTCGGAGTCCAGCAACCATCGAAATCTCGTTCCTCAGCTTCTACGCCCGTCAGAGACCATCCCGACCTAGCCAAGATTCACTGGGTCCGCCTCGACTACTAATACTGGCATCCTTTTTATTTCGTTTGAAAAGATGAGTGGAAGAGACTTAAAATGGCCGCACCGGATACCTAAACACTGTATCGGCCTTGTGACAGTTGACTTATGCAAAGAAGCATTCGACTCACCGTTCTACGACTCGGATGTATCGGTGTTGAGATTTCGTCCGTCAAGTGACGGATGCCGGAAGACCTCATTAATGAAAACAAATAAAATACTACTTACTTCTTATATCTAACCTTGCGATCTTAATGGGGCATTCCATGATTCGGTGGGCCAATTAATGCCCGCCATTCATGCAGGCAGTCGAATGAATTTGATGCGCCAAAGTGGGGCGGATTTGGTCATTGCTTCACTTTATTTAAATAAACATGTACATGATCCTGCAATACTGTTGCCTTACTGATCATCCAATATGCAGAGATAGTCCTTGATTAATTTTCCACTCTCGTTCCTCTAATTTAAGATATTCTGCGCATTGCATAAGCGAAGAAAAGCGAGTTTCAATTATTCTACTAAGATAACATTTTTGGAGAGACTTTCATTTCGTATGAAAATACATGATAAGAGATTTGTAGATCGATCTAATCAAAAGACGGTAACTGAGTCCTTTTGTACTGATGCCGTCTAATTTAATACTACATTCAGGCTGAGGAATTCTATGAGACTCCTTCCGCGTTTTGGTTAAAAATGATATGATCTTTCGGTCCTCATATGATGAACAGCCCCAGAGCTGTAATTCATTCTTGCAAAAGTCCAATGTTGAACTAAGTCAAGATGACTCTCTGGCTCTATTCTATATGCTATGCTTAGTAAAACACTCTATATCTTGTGGAAATTTTCATTTCGTATGAGAA